TTCCTTAGAATATCCCACAAACAGCCTTACTTCTGATCTTGGTTCCAACTTATCAGTATCGGTCCTCAGCACATGTGCTGGGCTACCCCAAATCCTGAGATGTCTTAAACTAGGCTTATGCCCAGACCACAACTCCAATGGTGTAGACGGTACTGATTTAGAAGGTACCTTTCGTTTGTTTATTTCCTTTTGGTTGTTTGCTTTGTGTTGGTTTTTATGTGGTTTAGGATTAGCTCAGTGTATATGTTTGTTTTTGTTTCGGAAATGATTACAGGCTAGGCATTGTGCAGTGGCTCTGTTTTTCATTTTCCTTTATTTTCCGTTTGTGGAGTTCTTTAGGCCGCCATGTGCGTGTCCTCTTAGTTTTTTTTTCCAGTTTATTTTTAGGTGTGTTTTTGGTTTGGGCCGTTGGCCCCGGTCTCATTACCCTGTTGGGGTCTTAGATTACCCAACAAGGTCTTGTACTTTGTTCTTTTGCACTTTTGTGCTCTTCTATAATACCTCTGTCGTTTCGGAAAAAAAAATAAAAAAAATAAAAAGTTTAGATTACATATGACATGCATCCCGCTCCGAGGAAACCTTTATCTTATAGCAAAATGCTGGTTGCATCCAATCTAATAGATGTGTAGAAAAATATAATGGATAAAAAACCTCATCATAACGAGAAAACATTTATCTTATAGCAGAATGCTGGCTGCAATCTAATAGATTTTTTTTTCTATTTGCAACCAGCATTCTAGCTATACTAAAGTAAACCATTATATCATTAAGAATATATTATAGTTGTATTATCAAATCATAAAAAGATATTACATCCATATTGTAAAAAAAAAATAATAATAAAAAAAAAACGTATAATTTTATGACAATTATACACTATTTTACAATATTCCTTTTTATTATATAATAAAATAATAACTAAATATATATAGTGAACAAGAATAAGTAAACTTGTTACTTTCTCTTATATCAAGGGATAAATTTATATGCTAAAATTAAATTACTATTAGTATAAATGTTTTACTAAGATAATATATTAATTATTTTACAA